TAATAGAATTGTGCGCGTTGGAGGCCCGTCGTCATTGTAAAATCATGTTCATCTATTTTTTGTAGATAAGCAGTGTAACTGGGTTCCGATGAATCGCCTAATACACTATTGTTGGGAAGACTTTCCTTTTGTATAAAGGTGCATGATGAAAAGCTTCTAAGGTCGATCTTGCCATAAGACGATGGCTGATTTCTGTTGTGATGCAGCCGTTTGGTTGTAGTACTACATTCAGTTTAATGCAGGCTACAAGATATCCTCCCTCATTTCGAGTGAAAATGGACTGAGCTTTCGTCAATTATGTGATAGAAATAATCAAAGCTAGAACTCAATTTTGTCAGTCTTTATTTATTCCTTGGCCGGCTCTATCTTAACTCCTATATATACCCAAGAGCAAAAGCGAAAATGTAGACAGATAGATATAGAATCATTTGCTAATTCCATTGCATATTGTTTATGGTACCTTTAATAGAGAGTGTGGTGTGTGCGTGCGTATGCATGTTAACGCCTACATAATACCGGTCGTAAATCAGAGTGATTAAAGTATCTTGTCACAATCCCATATTGGTAAACAATTACATGGCCAGACTTGAGCAAAACTTTTTGGAAGAGGCAATACCAACCCCCAAATGAATATATATATATATCATGTGTTAAATTAAGGCTTTTGCAAGAATGAGTGCCAGCTCTGACGATGTTCGCCATGCGGCATGACGAACGATGGCTCAGCCTGTTTTCGCTCGGAAAGTTTGGGAATACTCCAAGTCAAAAGTCAATTGCTGGAAATCACGAATACTATGGCAGAGGACACATGACTAGGTATGTTTCATAAGGTCCCCTTGACGATCCGACCAAGTTTCAAAATCGTGGTCGAACCAACGAAATTCCATGTTATGCCTTTCTTCGGTCATTAAACCTTAGCAACGGACAGGTTATGACAAGGGGTTGTGTAAGCTAACTTACAGGCGTACACCTCCTTATCTCAACCATAAATGCCTACTTATGCGGTCTCAGTCGGGGTCATTAAGTCATGATGGCTCGAGCCTGACGTACGTTCATCATATGATGGACAAAAGCTCGATCCGTTTTCAGCCGAAACTAGGGGTCAGGTTTGTGGAGTATGTCAACATGAACGTATTAAAGCCAAACGGTCGTAGTACAATAATATTCTCTTTTCGAAAAAATAAAGAATAAGATGGTGTGGCCTCCGGTATAGTCACAGCCTCCTTTCAATTTATAGAAGTGGATCGACCTTGTTGTCGCAGCTTGGTCTTGTTGTCAGGGCGACTTAATATCAAACAGTGGACCAAGTTTGAATTCAATAGAATCCAAGTTATGATAACTACTATGACAGAGGACTTTGGACTAGATGTGTTCTACTAAGTCTCCCGGACAACATGACCAAGTTGCGACAACGAGGTCAGTCCATTTTTAATACTCTATTTTGTTCACCTCTGTTTCTGCAATGTTAATTTAGCCCATAGTTTCGTTAATCTCCTCTGAAGGTCATCTGGAGCTGCCATAGTTTGAAATATGCATTGTTTTTTCTTTCTCAATGCTTCTCTCTTATTTGCCTTGATTGTCGGGCTAAGAATGAGTAAATTAGATATTTTAAAAACAATGCTTCTTGACAGTCAAGTACGCTTGAAGTCATGCTCTATTGGTCAAGCTAGGACTAAGCTAAAATTCATCCTCTTTGAGCCAAGCACGCCAAATTTCAATCAAATATCTTCGCGGTACTGGAGCCTAAGGGAGTTTAGGCTTTGCAGACTAAGCTGAAGTAACAAAGATAAAAGGAGCGTGAAATAGTGGAAGAGATTCTTGAATTGGCCTCATCGTAAGCCGAAAGAGATTTGTATTGTCGTTATGACTACTGGATTGTGCGAAGAAGACCTTGGCTCGCCGTCCTGCGACCTCAATGAATTCGAGCTGAAATTTCGTCAACCGCTTGATGGACATCGTCAGAGCCAAAAATCATCATTTATGAAATTCCACTAAAAACGAGAACAAGAAAAGTGGCGGGCTGAAATTCTACTTACCTCTACCAGACTTCACGATCATAATGGGGTGTCAAGATTAGGTTGGCTACTACATGCTTACCCTACATGTTTGCAGACAAGTGAAGTGATGCATGAAAAGGGAGAGGATTTTGTCACAATTTATTCAAGTTAGCTAACAGCTGTAACTAAATCCGCTCCCTTTTAACGTGTAAACTTCAATCATATGAATACATATAGTGTTACCATGAGAAAGCCAACCAAACCTTAAACAGAATAAGTTAGTTATAAGGAATAAATAGAAGCTCAGTCAGCTATTTTACCTGGTTTAGTTTTCTAATGAATTTTTCCTAAATTATGTTTTCTGACTCTGACTCTGTTACATAATAGACCAAAGCTTAGCTTGAATTCATGAGCTCGCAATACGGTGAGCCAAGGTTTTCTTTCATCAATCCAGCAGTCACGACTTCAATTTAATCTTCCTGCCTCCGGTGATATCAATTTATTATTTCTCTCCATCAGCTTTTTGAAACGAAATAAAAACGATTTTTTGAAACATAGCTTCTCTTCATATAGCATTTTAAAAGGCAGTACGGGGAAGTCGGTGTACATCCTCTCGAGTGCGAAGGACTTTACTCGTTTAAATTAGATAATATCCAAGTTTTTCCCAAATCCTTATCTGATAACTGGGTAGCCTAGACAGACATTAAGGAAGACTTAAGTAGAAACGATGCGAAAGTGATCACGACTAATTGCAATGATTAAAGGAGCAATAATGACCTCAGCCGCGGCCATACTTACATGAAAGGTTGAAATAAAGTTTAGCATATAAAGTATAATGAAATTGAGTACAATAGAAGACGCACACGAGGTTGGGTTTTGTAAGACAGCCATTCCGAAGGATCTGCTGGCAAACGCCCATCAGTCCCGGTCGGGTAGGGCATACGCATTCTAGCCTGATGTGTAAGCCCGGCTTGTCTAGTGTAATTGGAGGAAAGCGCTCTGGGATCCATTTGGTGACTGAAGTTTCTATGTAATTTCTTGTGTGGACAATCTTCCTCTTCATTGTGCAGTCTGCTACCTTCTCTTGTTTCTTGGTCGTCTCCTTCTTCGGCAAAGTTGGACGAACAAGCGAGTCCGGGCACCAATTTGTTAGTAGCTGTATTGAAGCTGAGCCCGAATATAGCGAGAGAACGACTGGACATTTGTTGTAGGTCACGCCGTGAATAGTGGCAGTGGAGGATGCAAGCGACAAGCATGCAGAAAGCAAAGTTGCCGACGAGATGCCAGCAAAACAAATTGGCTGCGCGCGCCAGACTCTCAGGGGCTTCGTGGTCCCACTGGGGCATCCAGATAAAGGGCGGATAAAGAATGGCGCCCACCTGGAGCAAGCATCAAAGTAAGTTAGATGGATGTAGGGGTAAAAGGTGAACGCATGTTCGAATAGATAAAGTAGAATGCTAAGATAAAATAGGACACAGAAATTTAAGTTTCCACAATACATAATTATATAAAAGCTTCTTTTCGATATTATGTAGTCTTGGCAAGCGAAGTATTTTTCACTGGTTTCACTTAAACAAGACATGAGTATGGATATATATAATGGGTTTCTTAGAGCGCATAAAACTTGAACTTCCGTTAATTTCAGTCTCCTTTTGTGGTATAGGCTTATTCTGGCAACGTTCTTGCAACTTGCTGGTGTTAACTGAGACACTTCGGGCACATTCCTTTAACTCTTTTACTCACTGTTTATTATAATGTGAATAATTGAAAATGCCAATTATAGACTCACATAAATTTTCACATGGACTCTTTCGGAGCGCTGCCGAACACCTTATTTTTTTAACAAATATATGGTTACCAAAGGATAGAAACTTTAACACACTTTCACGCATATCCATTAAACTAAGATGCAGTATCACTGCAATGGGCTTTTTAAACACCTGATTTTCTAAAAACGGTAAAACGTCTGAGAGCCAAAAATATATGCAAAGATTTAGATCGAAAATAAACAGATTGTATTGTAACAAAATGATGTACAGTAGATTTGGAGCGGTAAAGCTTCTCTTAAATGCTAGTCAGCCAAAGCAAATAATATCGTGAAAGTGCATTAAATTGCTTTGTATGGAAGAAGACTGAATTCGAATTAAGAGTTTTCGAAGTTTAATTAAGAAGTGTTTGAGGTTTTACCACATGGGAAAATTTACAGAATCCCAGAAATATTTGTCAATAAAGCGCTTCTTTTGCAGAGGATTTCATCTCATTCTAACATGTATATTCTATTAGGGGATTTCTTACCTATGATAATAATAGAATGCGTAAGGTGTGCATAGAAAAGCAAATATGGCGGCAACAACAGATAATTAAATTCAACAGAGATAACAAGAATAAAATCACCAAAACGGCAAAAGGAGAGTTATATACCCCAAGTATAAGCACAGTCCTCACTTAGAGACCATCGATTACGAAAAAAAGGATGGATACTTCACCCTCGCCATTATTTTAGGAATAAATGCCGCATAGCTAGACAATACACTGAATTTGCTGACCAAAGTTAAAATTTTTAAATGCTTAATTGAACTTTAAGTTGCTCTATGTATGCTGTAGTCTACAACCTTACGGGCCAGGGTAATGCCAACGTATAGTCATCTTTCGGCAGCTATTCTGCTGTCCAGTGATATTTAACACTCCTGCTGAATAGTGAAAACTAGTCCTATTTACCAAGAAGTAATAGTCACGTCTCAAATGGTAAGAGTAAGGAAGATCAAAAAGAGCCATATTCAC